AAAAAAAAAAAAAAAAAAAAAAGCGAACGCGGCGGGAGCGCCGCGTTCGCGGCCCCCCCGCATCCAGCGCTCCCGGAGGACACGCAGCCCACCCCTCACAGCCGCTTCCAAGCCTCCTCCCCGCTCCTCTCCTCCCTCAGCAGCCATGGCGCCGCCACCGCCCCTCACACCGCAGCGCGCCGGCGCCGCGGACTTTGGCACCCGCCGAGGAGGCGCCGCCATCCTGCCCCGAGGGCTGGTTACTTCGGCAGCTTGTTTGCGTGTGTGGGGTTTTTTGTTTTGTTGGGGTTTTCCCCCTCTCTTCCCTCCTCCCCCAACCCCCCCGCTTCCCCCTCAGAAATACTTGATTAAATTTCAGACCTTGGTATTCCAGGAGTTCTTTGAGAGTGTGCGTGTGTTTGTTTTTTTTTTAATGCAGCAGAAGTATACATTTCGATTAAAAAAAAAAATAAAATCAGACACGGAAGCAGAGGCAAAACTCCTCAGTTGTGCTCCGAGGACATGGGTTTTCTTCCGGCAGTGGATCTTAGCTGTGGGATTTCACAAAGTCACGCAACATTTTTTTTGCCGTCGTTGTGTTCCACCCTTGGCCTTTTAAAGGTCCCTCACATATGGTCACATACTTCGTTAACATGTTTTTCCCTGTTTCTTGGAAGTCCAGCCACACGCTCTGTGTTCCGCTGCCCAGGTTGCTGTTGCACACAGGATCTACTGACTCAGGGCTTTCCTGCTTCCCTTTTCCCCCGTGTTTCAGTCCCCAGTAGCACATTTCTCCACCATACATCATTGCCAGTAAGTGTGTGTCACTAAATACACCTGCAAAAATAATTTATATCGAGTACTTTATTGTTCTAAGAAAATACACAGCTTGTTAACTTTTTTTTTTTAGTTTCCTGGAAAAAAATTCCAAAATGACAGTCTCAGCCTGATAAACAGGTAAACCAAAAAACCCAAATCTTAACCTTGAGATGACTGACAATGCCCAGAAGAGAACACAGGTCAAGACTGTGCTTATTACTCTGTCCATTTTGGCCCTCCATAATGCTATAATCTTTAAGATTGCCATCTAACCATAATTCTGATAATTATGTTTGCCTGTTATCTTTGAGAATTTCAGTATTAAGCACAGGCATGACTATGCATATTTATGTTAGAATATTTCTGTGCCTCCCATAATTCAAGACTGAAAGAAGATAGTTCTATAGATTGCTCTATAGTAATGCAACTTACATAAAGCTATATAGTGACAGAGAATTTGCCAAATCTGAACAGTTCTGCATGTAGTTTTTACCTGTGTGAAGTCTTTAATTCTTTGTACCCGTGTTATTCTAGAGCTAAATAGGCAGACCAATAGGCAAACATCTTGCACCCTCTGCAGCCATATGTGTGCCTTAAACATCTGTCAATTGTCAACTGGATGGCTGGCTGCAAAACAGACATGCTCAGCATAAAACACCCCCAGTCTCAGTTCACCTTCATCCAGTGCGCTCAAAAACACAGGGAAAATGAACACCACCACTTTCTAAAATCCACGAGTCAAAAAAGAAGGGGGTGAGCACTGCTGCCTGCTTATTTGCCTCATTATTACCTTCTTGTTCTTGTTCTAAAAAGTGACAGGTTTTGAATACAAATTCAAAGAATAAAAACACACAAAAAACCACTTCATAAAGTGAAGCAGTTATTAAGAGGAGGGGGTTGTAGGGTTTTTTCAGGTTTTTTGGGGGTTGTTTACCTTCACTGAGTAATCTAGCTGTGTCTTTATCTTGAAGTAAGACATCTTCATTTAGCTGAAGAGGGCATCTAAAGCTAAGCATCTTCATCAAGTAATGAACTCCATCATTAAGACACTGAGTACAGTTAAAAACGAGGAAAAAATAAGTTCTGGTTAAATTAATGATAGCCAGAAATACTTCTATGAATTCCCCAAAACCCTACTAAAAAAAAAAAAAGATAAAAAGAAAAAAAGATAAAGAAGCAGCCATATTTTAAAAGTGAAGAGTCAAACTTTGAAGCTGTATTCACAAGCTCATAAAATGTTTTCATTTACTTTACCTTTTTAAACGTGGCAATGTTTCCTTTTAGCCATTCTCTCCTTTCTTTTGCTGTATGACAGTACATGTAAAGCAGGGCTCCTTTCCTCCAGTAAAGACATTCTAACAGTTCTGCACCAAGGATGTTAATGGGCTGAAATAAAATCCAACAAACTGGGCTAACACAAAAATAACCCACCTGAACTAGTCATAAGCACAGTCACACATGCAAAGAGTCTCTTACTTCAGAGGCTGTACTTGACAGCAACCCTCAGAAACACAAGACTAACCTAATACTGAAAATGGCCAAATCAAACTATCATTAACATGTTGTGCAATCATAAAATGTTAGTGACAGAAATTCTGAGCACACAACAAGTTATTTGAAACAATATTTTCAGGAATCACTATTTAAATACAAGTAAGAGTTGAAAATGTTTCAAAATACCTCAAGTTCTGCCCATCAGAAATACAAAGACTACCATCCTGTTTCAGATTTTTTATTTTAAAATAATGAAATAATTAATCCTCTGGCTCAAGAACATCAGTACTCACTTCTTCGTCTATGTTGCATTCCCTCACTAGATCTTCTGGTTCTGAAAGAATACAAATAAGTTCTTTAAGTTTTTGCAAGGAAGTTTCTTCTGGAAAATCTTCATCCACAAGCTGGTTTTCCTCAAAATACGTTATGTCTAGGACAGCCTATGAAAACAAGAAGACATACAAAGGAGAAACGCTACCATCAAAATAATGTAGTAGTGGTGTGTTGTAACATAGAAAACTTGTCAGTTTATAAAACAATACAATTTGAAGATATTTTTTCACATTTTGTTTACTAAAGGTGCAAGATTGATGGCACTGAACGTAAAGTCAAACCCCTTTCTGTCCCTAAAGGATCAGTACAATTATTATCGACTCCCAAGTTATCCAAGTCAAGTGCAGCCATGTGCTTCACAGATGTTCACCGTACACACCAAGTAACAAGATATCCTTTTCTGCTCTATCCTCCTTTTTACACCAAAGCTTCTCTCACAACACGCTCAGATTTTCTTGAAAGTCAGCTTGATGTTTTAAATACAATACCTGGGTATAGAGCTGAAAAAGAGCAGAAGGAGGCTCTTTCCCTTCGTTACAGAGGTCCTCCAGCTTGTCCAGAGCAGCCGAGCCTTTTGCTAGGAAGGTATCTGAAGGAAGAACACAATGCTTCCTTAGCACTGAAAGGCATTCAGCAGGAGCCTCCCTTCCTCTCCTTTTTCACATGGCTTCATCCACCCTCGCGGTATTTACAACAGCAGCTGGGTAACACAGCGCTTAAGCAAGCCAGCTGTCCTGTCAGCCCGCACCTTTCACAATTAAACTGAGGGCATCCGCGGCACGCTCCGCTGTTCCCAAGCCGACCCCCACGCTCCGCTCACAGGGATGCCCTACACCCCGCCCTGAGGGCCGCCCTCCGCCTGGTCCTCGGCCCGTCCCCCCTCGCTGGGCCGCTCACCGTCCCCGGCCGCGCCCCGGGGCGCCCCGAGCCGCCGGCCC